TTGGTCTTAAAGTAAAATCTAATAGTAATTCTCGGTAAATTTAAAATATTTTTACGAACTTCTCATTTAAGATACTTATCACGCTATCAAAAGAGAGAAAGAGCTACATTTATTTCAGTATAAACTGTCAAATTACTCTTTGTGACGTAATCGTATTTTGAGAGATAGTTTTGAGTAACCAAAAAATTTCACAAATAAGAGTAAACAAAAGAAATTATAAAAAAATTTTACTTCCAAATGAAATTTTAGAAAATACTGCAAGGCGTTGTAAAATTCGACATCAAAGAATAAACATTAGTGCTAAAGTGCTGCCAGTCAAATTATTTTCTTTTTTTGTCAAGCTTTATTTACTTACTTTGTCGCTAGGTTTACTCAAAAAGTTTAAATTTCTTAAAAACTGAATAATATTAATTTTTTTATTTCTTATATATTATTGCCTTAAATATTATTTTCAGCTTATATTAATTTTGAAGTGTTTCCGTATTATTTTAAAAATTCCATTTCAGTTCATTCACTTTTTGTTTTCCTTGGTAATATTCTTAGAAAATTGCAAGGTAATAAACCTATTAAAAATTTTTTTCTCTTATTTTTCTCGTGTGCTATACGTAATTAAACTAAGACAACTAGAATTTTTATTCATTTAAAATACTTATGTAATAAAATAATAATTGCATCCATAATATTTTCTAGAATTGTGTCATCATTGCATATTTCAGCACGAATAAATTTGTCGTAAACTTAACTGTAACTATATACATAGTTGTTTGTGCAATTCTATTGCTTTGTCTCATTAGAGCGTTTTTGATAAAACTTCAAATGTTTTTCAAGTTTTATTCTATTTGCCCATCTGTCTTTCTTGTACCAAAAAAAAATTAAAATTAATCTTATAAAATTTTTAGAATTTAAGGATGAAATATTTGAATTAAACGAATTTTAAAATTTTTTCAAAATTTTGTAGATTTAAATGTACAGTTAATCCTTTAGTTTCGAGTTACTCTTTTAAATTAAGCGTCACCCCGCATCTAATTATGTAAATTAATTATGATTTTTTTATACTGTACAGGCTTTATTTAATTTACTCCTTCAGTTTAAAGCCCATCTAACACGATTTTAGGAAATCTTCTTCTTTCAGATCCATTATTTCTACCAATTTTAATATTAAATGATTTTCCAATAACATTTACAGAAAACAACTGTGAAACAAATAAGATAATAATTGCCAATTGCATTCAATGAAAAGGTCGTTTTTTTTTGTTTTCACATTCTGACAAAGCGTAAGTATGTAAACAAGCATAAAAGTGCATCTATAATGGATTTTAAATATGATCATTTAAAATCGTTTAAGGAAGAAAAATATTTTTGAACAAGGACTTGTTGCTACGGTAAAAGTTGAGGTTTTTTCTTAATACTATGACACCATATGAATTAGTTTGTAATTTATGTTTTTAGCAGAACAGCAACTGGTCAAAAAGAAATATTTTTTCTTATGATAAATTGCTTTTTACTATCATGTATTTATTTTTTATCGGGAATTTCATTACTCGGAACTGGTAGTATGCATACATATTAGTGTAAAATTACATGCACTATATGCAGATACGTATGAACAAATTGAAGTGCGAGTGGTGCTCGCTAATTGTTCCTCCCAACCCAATGTAATATTCACCTAAGTAATCTGAGCTTGAATTGTTGAATAAATTATAAAAAAATCGAGAAAACTTAAATTTTTCTATACCCTAAACCTAAGTGAAGGACATATTAACTTTGAAGAAACGGCCTGTACAGTAAGAACGTGCAGATATATTAGAAATATGTTGGACATGTTCGTCAGTTCGTCCGTCCATTCACACGATAACTCAAAAATGAAAGAAAGAAAGCACCACCAAATTTTCATAAATTATTTCTTTTCTGTCAAAGACGGCTGCAATTTGTAATTGGATGAATTCGAACAACAGGGTTCGGGAAGCTGCTATACAACTGTAAAGAATAATTATAAATAAATGTTTTAATTGGAAATTTGGTAAGAATTGTTGTTACAAATATACACTCCTCAAAAACTTTGATCAGCTAGCTCCCCAGGTTTTGATTTTATAATCAGATTGTCAGGGTGTATATGGTGTAATTTAGTCGGCTAAGTTTGACTGATCTGTTCTTACTTATAAATTATATTCTAAGTGGTTATACGAAACACGTTATTTTATATTTGAATACTAGTTGAAATAAAATTTTAGTTAGAAAAGAAAAAAATTTTTAATGATTACTAAAACATTTGATTGGCATCATATAAAATAAATAGAATGAAGTATCGCTTTTATTTGTTTAGGACAACCCAAAAAGGATTATGAATACCTGTTCAGAGAGAGAGAGAAAAAAGATTTCTATCCCATTTTTCTTTATTTATTTTTTATTTTATTTTGTTTGTTTAATTTTTCTGAGATATATTTGAAACTCGTGGCACATTTTCTCAGTTAAAGAATTTTCGAAATGTTGTACAGCATAATTTTTTTTTAATTTTATTTGTTTGCTTAAGTGTGATGAATTAAAAAATTCGATTTGGGTTTTCAACATTTTGCTAGTTCAACAAATAAAGGGCAATTTTTGCATTTTACATTTCTAAATCTACTTTAAATTCAATTAAAATGAAAGCAACCTTTAAAACATTTTTGCATGTTTATATTTTAAGACTTGTTGTTTCAAATTTCATGTACAAATTAAAAATTTTCAAAATAAAGCAAATATTTTAGAAATTGTAGAAAATTTTGAGAATTTAAAGTTAAGTACATAACTTAAAGTAGTTCTTTTTATATTTATGCATGATCAATTCGATTCTGCAACTCGATCATTTTATACCGCAAAGCAACAACATGTGAGAACTTAACCTTATAAAAAGAACCTTCTTCCGAATGGGCTTTTTTATAACTAGATACGATGGCAGAAATGATACAGGAAGAGATTTATCAATTATTCAACAAAAATATTTTCAAAGTAATAAAGCCGTAAAAAAATTATTTGATCTCACTTTCTTTTAAATATACAAGGTTAAAGTAAAAGTGCACGCTTACAAACCATGACACTTTTTTTTCAAAGTTCATTTATTCCTTTTTGCTGTTTTTGCTTTATTTCCTTGAACTTATATAAATCAGATTTTTGTTGTAACGGAAACTGAATTCTAATAAGTGTAATGCAGATTCAATTAAAATGCAATATACATACAAACGTACGTACGTATAGATTTTATTAATGGCGTTCAATGATGAAATTGTCATATATTTTATTTGAAATATGCATGTTCCGTGTGTTTCCTGATTTATTCTCTTATTATATAAGGATTTAAATAATATATAAAATATTCTACAATATTTTATGCTTCAACAAATTTTTTTTTTCAACAAAATTTTGTCTTTATACGGGGATTAAGTTTAAAAAAATATACATATTTTTCGTCCTTGGAGCCCCATAGAAATTATTATAGCTATACATAGAAAACATTTTCATCATTGTAAAATAAAAGGGAATATGTTACCAGTTTTTTAAGGATATCTATTTATATTGTACTCGTATATATGAGTGGATTATTTTCGGATAAAACCAAAATTGTGTAGGTACTCGTATTCTAGTTTTTTGTTTTACACAAAAAGTCAACACTTTTTAATAAAACATTTTCGTCATATCCGGCAAAATTTACAGGTTTGTGTGGTATTGTAAATTTGTAATTCTGTTAACAGTACTGAAAAGAAGATGTGTACGATTGAGGTGGGGCCCCACACTATTCTTTAGTGGAATTAACTTTATATTTTTCGGTTTATTTAAGGTTATATGTCGATCCCCTATTTCATTGTGATATCATATTTGTCTTCCTTATATTTAAGTACTAGTTTATTTTTTTTTAATTGATTTCGTTGTTTCCGGGTCATCCAATTATTTTAACCAATCATATATTTCAATTTCATGTCCCATTCGTTTTCATTCTCTAGCATTATTCCCGTTATATTCTTTAGAATTGTGGTTTCTACTACCTGATTTAAAATATCCTGTTTCTCTTATATGTTGCTTTTGCAAAAAAGACATCCCATTTGTGTTTCCCGAATTTCTTCAATTACTTTTTTAATATTTGAATGCCTAAGTTATTACTATACTACATCTGGTTTGGCTATAGGTTATTTTTCAATCTGGTCTCATTTTTTTCTTTTTCGTAATCTACTTTCCTTTTTACTGCCGGATCTTACCACGATTTGATTCGGAAAAGGACAGAGAGCTGTGTCTTTAATTTTTCGCTCCTAAAAATCGTTTTCCATTATTGAAGTTCTTCAGCACGCGTATGCTATTCCTTCAGGTATCTTATATTGAACCGGCAAAGCTTGAAAAACTTTTCTATTCAATTTTTTTTTATATTTTGTAAAAGCAATCATGAAAAATATAAAAATTTCTTGGAAATCAAATCAAACATACATATGCTTTTTATTTTATCTTTTACTTTTAGTATAAATCCAAAAGTATTTTAAATTTTTTGAATGTCATAACCGAATTTAAAAATGACGATTTCTTTAACATGTTAGATTTACTCTTTTATACTTTAAGCCTAAGCTAATATAAAGGTGTTTTACTTTTGATTATTTGCGACTTTTATTAAAGAAAATACAAGCTTCTGAATGTGATTGCACTATCATTTTTGAAAGAACTTTTCAAATAGCAGAATTTTTTTTATTGCTACAAATATTTACTTCCCTGCACCTACAAGAAAGTATGGCACCGTTTTGTCAATGTAAAATATAAATCACCAACTTACTCACTTTGTTAGATATTTTAATTGTATGCGCGCCCCAATTGCAAGTGTTTAAATTTTGGGTTAACTTACTGGCAAAAAAAATAAAACTGCAACAAAAATTGTGTTTTAATTTTCCACACTTTATTCAACCCTGATCATTTAAAATTTTTACACAATTTAATTAAATTTTGTTATAAAAAAAAAATTAATAAATTTTTTGTATTTTCATTTTCAGATTATTCGAAGAGCATTCATATTTACTCGAAATATTTAAATTTAAAGAATTACGTACACGTGAAGAACAAGCTAGATCAGAAGAATTAGCAGAACATGCTAATAAAGTAATGTCTACATTAGATGAAGGTATTAGAGGATTGGATGATTTAGATACATTTTTTATTTATTTACATCAAATTGGTTCTTCTCATCGACGTATTCAAGGTTTCAAAAGTGAATATTTTTGGGTAAGTGTTAAATTTTTTTGCAAAATCTATAACATGATTAGAATATAAGAAATTTTTTGCTTTATTATTCTTTTTCTTTGTAAAAACATACAAAGAAAAATGAATACATCCAAGGTTATTTGTTTCTAAAAAATATAACCTTGTTCGAAACAAAAACCAATCAACCGCCAACTTCAAGGTCAATGTTAATAGAAAAGTATTTGTGTTCAGAAAAATTTTTGAGATACCATTATTATAAGAACCTTTTGGGTAATTTGTATCACTCATACCTCTGAGGTATACAAAGATGTTGGCAAAAGACTTGTGGCTTACTTGCATAAGATTTTCCTTCCAAAATATTTTTCATTTTATTTCTTAAATGCCTTAGTTATAAAGTTTAAGTCATCCATATTGCCATTATTGTTTTTTCTATTTGTTCCAGCTTACTTCCGACCTCCTCTATCACTTTACCTTTTGTAATATGTTTTCTAGGTCGTTATTTGTTTTCACCTTTTCCTGCATTCAAGATTTTTTGAAAGCTCGATCTGTAAAATGTGCATAGCCCATCCTTTAATTATTTTTGTCTCTTCAACGATTTCATATTTGAAGTGTTTCTCAGATGCTGCATTTTCTATATAAACCTGGTTTGTATTAGTTCTTGTTTTCTTTCCAAGTTAAGCCTTTTTTCATCTACCAAATATGCAGATGTTTTTAGTATTCAATAGAGCTTTTAGCAAATTTAAAATTTGTTTTTTACAAAAATGAAAGGGAAATGAACTTCATTTTTTTGTTATTCAATCCTGTTCCATATAAAGAAGTACATCACGTTAGAACAGTTCATTGCTACCATTTGGAAAATAAGAAAAAGAAAAAACAAAGCAATAATCCTTACACGTATTACACGTACCTCATAAAATATATTCTTAAGAGATCAGTGATTATTACTGTGACAGTAATAGATATGCGTGTTTATGTGTATTATGTGTGTGTTTATATAAAAATAAGCATGTGTGTTAGTCTGAGGAACACACATATACTTACATTTATGTTGCAAAAACATTTAATTTTTTCAAATTTTACATAATGATATGGTAATAAAAAATTACGCTGTCTTTTTCCTTATTTAAATTTTTCAAAGAAAAGAGAATCCTTAATGAGCGTTTTGGGGGAAGTTGAAAGAGAAAAGTAAGTGTTAAAAAATTATGTTTGTATATGTAGTAAAAATGTTTATATTTGAAGAATATAATATAGAATTTTGTGTTTTACATTCACTCCGCATTACATTTGAGGATTTGACACTTAAATTAAAGTAAATTTAAAATACAAAGACAAAAAAACACAACCAGATAAATTGTAGATATTGATTGCGAAGGAATATCGATTCTATATTTAAATTACAGAGAACAGTTTTAAGTATGAGTTTTTCAATTTTACATTAACATTTTAAATAATTTGCAAAAATTTGATAATAATGAAAATTGACAATGTAACAAAATTCCATCCGTTTCGAATCCGAATTCGAATTGCGTCGAGACCACGCCATAGGCCATCCAGGAATTTGGGACATTTCTAACGGTTTTGCAGATGGTGGTCTTTGCTTTGGAGTACAGAAAGCTCCAAAGGATTATTTAGGAGAAAACATTCATAGGAGATATGTGAATAAAACCATTCCCAGGTAGGCAAGTGTCGATTGGAGCGCTTAATTCCTACCGAATCCAATCGGAAAATGAGAAAGGCTTTCTGTCAACTATTAAGATGTGACATGAAGGCATGTGTAGCAATAAAGCAACCACAACAAAAATACCGAAATCGGGCGCCGGAATAAGGCCGGCAAAGCAGTTGGGAGGGTGGCAAGTTGGTGGTAGGCCTTCTCACTGGTCATTGTAGACTGGGTTATCACTTACACGAATTTGAAAAATTTGTGAACCGTTTATATAGATTTTTCCGTGATGAAAATGAGGTTACGTAATTGGAGAGATCGCTGTATATTATCAATGATTTTTGGTTGCTGTCGTAGAATGTACTGTGTTTTATTTATTCTTCTAACAAAGTTGTTCCAATAAATGTTAGAAGAAATTTATACATCAATCATATCAGCAGGTATGTTGTGTATGTGAACTGATCTATATAGTCATAGAAAATGAAATATCTACAATTTTTATACAAAAAAATCAGAGCAGATGATGTTCGTTAAAATATTTAAGATTCTTCAAACGTAATTTTTTATAAAGTTACTTTTTTAAATACTTTAATCTATAAATAGAATCATATAATATGTTCATGTGCTTATACATGCGAAATACTTAATTATATTAAATTTATATATGTATAAATGTATGTGTATGAGTGGTTGCTAAACAATGTACCTATTTTTTACATTTAGTACTACATAATGCGTAAAAAATTTTTAAAAAGAAAAAAAAATTTTGTTTTTTGTTGTGTTCATTAATAATGGAAAAATTTTGTGTAAAAACATTAAATGAAAACAAGTTGAAATTTTTATTACACAAAATATGAAATTAGAGGTACGGAAAAATAGAAATGGAAAGTTATAACGAAATACTCTTTCTAGTTTATGATGCTGAAGAGTGATATAAAAGAGTGCGGTTTCTAAAATCGAAGCGGACTTAACACCTAATTGACGTCTTATAGGAATTTCAATTAGCGAGTGGCATGATTTGAATTGAGAGAGATACACACAACAGATCAATGGATGGTTGGAACTAACATGTGCTGCTACAATTTATTAAAGTGTCATATACATTTGCGCACGTTCATATTTCACGCCATTATAATTTTAGAGCATAAAAATAAACTTAAATTTTTGAAAATTATTAACTTAGTTGGGCTGTTCGATTCGATTTTTGAAAGTGCCGATTTGAATGCAAAGAGTTTGATGTCATTATTATTGCGATCTGTTATACATATAAATATTAAAAATTAAAAAGAAGGTATCCTATGGCTGAGCAGACCAATAGTCTTTTCTTAAATTAAATTTCTATGATAATTTATGGCAACATATTATTTAAATTGTGTAGTCAAAAGAGGGCTGTTGATAACACAGCATTTAAAAAAAAATATTTTAATAAATTTTAAATTCATTTTTTTGGAAATTTAATGTTACGGAAAATTTCGCGAAAATTATTAGCAATAGAATTAATTATTAAGTTTTTTTTACTCAAACTATTCTTTTGTTAGAATTAATTGCTATATGTATATATTAAATTTTATATTAGTTAGCACGTTAATAGCTAAAATCTAAACTTGCTTTCAGTTAAAAAGTTTATTTTTAATGTAATTATAATGCAATTAATTAAATATAATGTCGCTTTTTAAATTATTTTTTGTTGTTTTTAAGAATTTCAGTATTAGGAAAAAATCTTTTTTCAAATAACAATGGGCCGATGTAGAGTTCTTTGGAATGAAAGCATAGGGAACCTTATTTCACATTTTTAATTGGTGAAAACTAGAGTACTCTTTTTGTGAATGTTCCAACATACTATCGACTATTAACAAAAGATTCGCTTGTGTTTTTCTTTTATATTCAATGATCACACATCCTTATATAACGGGAAATCATTTTCGTAAATTACAATATAGTAAAATATACAACAAACTAACTTACACGAACCAATCCTAAAGTTTAATAAATAATTTTTGTGGTTTTATAAAATATTATGTTGTTGAATACTATGTGTATTTTTTATGTGAACATTGTGGAAAGGGACATTATATTTAATTAAATTATAAATTGCTCTTCTCTTACGAGTATGTTAGACCATAAATGTGGTTAAGGAGGTCGTAATTTTTATTTTATTTTATTAAATTTTTGATATATTAAAGTAATTTTAGCAAAATTTTTTAATATTCGTTAATAATACAGGATTTGTCCACAAATATTTTAAAAATTAATAATTAAGGAACATATTTGTAATTAATTTTTTATGAATACCATGGTGTAGTGATTGCAGGACTAGCTTTTTAAGTGAAATGTTTCTGTCTCATTCAAAATATATTAAAAGAAATCGATGAAATTATTATAAAAAATATAACCAATATTGTATAGCTTAATAACCTAAAATAAATTCACAGTAAAAAAAAATTGGGGTTGTTCGAATTTGCAACGACATCTTTCAAAATAAGTCATCTCCTAGGATCCTAGGCCCACGCAAAAAATCTGCGGTTTCATTGGGGTGAAACCGTAGATCATTACTGCGAGCTTGCTGGTAGATTATCAATAGTCTTATAAAATTTTACTGTGCACTTTTTATAAAAATTTAAATTATTCTAAAGCTTCATAAATAAGATTGCACCAAACACTCACTGTTAAAATTACATTGAACCCAAATATTTTAGCTCCAATCTATTCTTCTTTCGTTATTCATTATTATTATTATAATATTTTGATTATATAAAATATCTTGTTAAATTTTATATGTGAATTTCTGTGTTTGTAATGTTTTCATATCATGAAAATCACAAAAATGCATACTTAGTGTATGAATGTGTTTTTTTTTTACAAAAAAATATCAAATTAAACACAATGAATATGTTTATGAACAGTGATGTACACATAGGGAGATTTTAGAACAATATTAGAGTAAGTAAAGCTCAGGGAAAGCAAAGAATTTTCGGATTTAAATAATGGCATATTAAGTGATGAAACTACTAGTAACGTATATTAATAATTTTAATAAATCTATGAAGGATTATTTAGAAAAAACAATATTATACCACTTGTTCTAAAGGAAGAGGTTAATCGTGAATGAACTTAATAAACAAACATAGATGTTAATGAAAACTTTAAATAAGGTCATAAAAAATTATTAACTGTCTACATTATTGAGAGAAACACAATTGACGAGTCAGCTACAGCACAATAATAATGCTGCTCAGATATCATTAATTATTGTTGCTATTCCCTCGCACTTGTTGATATGTTCTCAAAATAATTGCGTTGGCAACGTAATCTTTAATATTAATAATTTAAATTGTTTTTTTTTTTCATATTTAACAAAGACAATAATGAATAGTAAAAATAAGTTCCATCACTGTCATCTAATTTTATTTTAATTTGATGCACCCTTTTTAAACAAAATAAATATTCAGAATATATATACAAGAAATAAGGAACGAAAATATAAGAAGAATTAAAATAAACAATGATAAAAAAAAATACAATAAAACTGAAAAAAGTTATCGTTCTTACGTATAGTTTTATTGTAGCTGACATTGTCTGCTATACATAGTCTATGAAGTCATTCAATTATGATGATTATGTAAATTATGATTATAATATAATTTTTCTGAATTACTTTAATAACTGAATTAATATGAATACAGTTATATCCATTTCAGTCACACATATTTTATTTATGTTATGTTGCAAAAATTTAAGACGAAAGTAGAATTACGTACGCAACATAAGCGTTTAAAACAAAGCGTTTGATAGTTTGACGTCGAATTTTATTGCTAGTTTGAGAATAGGAAAAATACGACAGATTTCCTATATAAGGTACGTAATAATTTTTTCGATTTCCTGTTATAAAAGGATCTTTGTCGATTTCTGAAGAGTTCCGGCTGGTTTGAATGAGGGGCGGAAAAGGAGAGATCCGGCGATAGCACGAAGGGTCTGGATGTCCTATGTGTACCCTTCGGAGGCCGCGTTAACCTTACCTAATCTAATCTACGTAATAATTTTAGGTTAATTCAATAATAGCTACAATCAAAATATTTTAGATGAATAACCTGTGTGAAATATAAATAACCTATTCATCAATAAACGAAAGTTATAATTTATATTGGTCATGAATATGACAATGACATATAAACAGTCCTTTTTGATATTGCAAAAGAATCACTTTCCGACAAGGTTTTTATTTTATTTTTTCATTTTGCGTCGAAATTCTTTGAATTAAATTCTAACATATTTCTTTTATATTTTGTTTGCTTTCAACATTTTGTTTACCAGGCGGAATACAAATTGAGCATAATTTTGTAGAAAATTGTAGAAAAAAAATTGACAGGAGGAATGGAACCGGAAAAGGAAAAAAAAAAACATTTTTTTCTTTCACTTTACACTTTCCTCTTTATAAATTAGTTTACAAGATACCTATAAATGGAGCAGAAATATATCAATTGAGAAGATGAGAAATATATCAATTGAGGCGGGAGAATTTATCGCTATCTCAATTCAACGTCACAATATAAAATTCAATATTGATGCTGATAATGAAATTTATTTGAATTTTTAAATGTCAATTCGTAATGTCTGTTAGACAATTATAGTTACAAGACATATGTCTTGTAGCTATAGTTGTATATGAAGCTCGCCATACTTTGCTATGCTAGAGAAATTAACATATTAATTACAATAATATAAAAAGTAATTCAAATTGTTATTGATTATATAATAAATTATCTAAAAAAACATTAAATATTTTATTAATTCGTGGAATTGATTAATGTGATTCATAACGGTAAATAATTGTAACTTCATTTCCAAATTTCAGTGATTTTATGTAAAAATCTTTTATGCTTTGATTTTATAAGTATACATATATTATACTTTAATAAATTAGAATGAGAAATAATATAATAAATAAAGAAAGTTTACGAGCAATCTCGGTGGTAGGTCACTATAGTAGTAGTATATGATGATAACTAGTAACAGATGGTACGGAAATTCCGTATATAAATAGGCAAAAAGTTGTTGATTGTTTTCAATATTGAAAAATTTCCACGGTGATTTTTATGTCTTTTTATTGCTTTTCGACTATAGTAAATAATACACAGAGTATAAAATCATAAAATTTAATTTCAGAAAAAGTCATAAAAGAGGAAATGAAAAATATCGCTATAATTTTTTAATAATATACTATAAACAGAAAATTGTTTTCTAAGTCAAAGTAAAGCGAGTTTATTTTCAATATCTGTCAAATACAAGGAATTTAATTTTTTAAAATATATTTTAATAATACAATTAATTAATTAAGCTTAACATTTAGTTAATAAAATGTGTTTTGACATTAAAAATTATTTTTTTAAATTAAAAACTACACGATCATACTTTGTTTTTAATAAAATTCAGAAATATTTTTACGTAATTTCACTATGATTCGGTCAGGAGACCAGTCTACTATGTGTATACTATATATGCGCTCCATTTACGTGTTGAAACTACTCATGAGCTTATATGTGTAGTTTGTAAATGAAACGTAGCCTTTTTCGGTAAATGAGCTTAATTAAAACATAACCAAAATTTTTTTGCCATAACAATTTTTCAAATGTCAATTTACTATAGTAAAAAACATTTCAAGTATAATAACTAAATATGAAAATAATATCGAAAACACATGATCCATCTGTTGTAAATCAAAAATACTATTTCCATTTACCGGAAAAAAATAAAATAACTGCACAGATTATCTATGCATATGTTCAAGGTTTTTTAGTTGTGCTAAGTCTTGGCTAATCAACAGGTTATTTGAATAATATTTCTAGTTGACTATATGAATGCATTTAAATCTATGCTCACATGATGCAAAATTTATTTGACATATTTTGGTATATCTCTAAAAGAGTCTTAACGCTTTTGTATACTTGCGTTGACTTATTTGTGTAAATGATACTTCACTATGAACTTTCTTAAAAACCTTAATAAGTTTTAAATCTCATAAAATATTTAAAAATAATTCATTAAAAGTTTTAATACTTAATTTTATTTACTAAAAAATTATTTTTTTTTTTTTCAATTACAGAAAGTTGAAAAACCATTTTTATCAGCTGTTGAAAATACATTGGGTGATCGTTATACAGCAAATGTTGAAGGAATTTATAAAATTACAATTAAATTTATAATTGAAACATTAATAAATGGTTATGAAAATGCCAATAGTGCCAATTATAATACACAAAATACTGATATACCAGAAATTAAAACACAAACTAACGGTAATAACGATTCAGAATTAAGATCGCCAGATTAACAGCAACCATAATAAATATTATAAAAATATTTAAAAATTAAAAATGAAAAAAAAAAAAAGAATTTTAAAAAAATTTCCATCCATAATTGAAAAAGTTTAAATATAAAATATTTTACAAGAAAAATAGAAAGTATTATAAGCTGGTCAATTTAAATAAAAATACCATAATAAAAAAATTTAAATTATTATAAAATAAAAATAAGAATGCCAATTATAAGAACAGAGAGAAGGAGATAAAAAAATAATTAAAATTATTGATAAAAAGCCAAAATTTAAAATTTAAAAACAAAATATTTTACATAAAATATTTAAATAATCTAAAAAATATTTCATTAGATTATTAGTGATTATTATTATCCGGAAATAATTATGAAAATATAAAGTATATAGAATTTAAGTAAATAAAATTAGATTAAAAATTATTTAATATTAAATATTTTTTTATTTCTCCGATAATTATTATTGTAAATTTTAATATAATTTTACGATTTGTATATCTAGAAGAAATCATTTTGTTATATTTTATTGGAAAACGATGAGATCTTTCTTAAAAATTATGAAAATCAATTTAATTTACCTAAATTATTTTAGTGTGTGGTCTCATAAATTGCAAATATTCATTAAAAGTGGATAAATTTTCCTGTTTGTTTGTTCGCAATTCTATTTCGGAATATGAGACTCGATCATAAAACATGTGTTATCTACAATATGACAGTTTTAATTTACTATATTTATTATTTAAGAATATTATTTAAGTGATTATTTATTAAAATTCCTATTAATTAAATACAAAAAAAATTATTGATAAATGCGTTTTTTATTTTAAATACAAAAATATTTAAAATGATATTCCTTTCTTTGCAATAAATTCAAAAAATAAAAATTTTAATACTAAATTTATCGCTTTATAGAAAATATTAATGTTCAATTTTATTTTAATAATTTAATTTTTTAATTTTTCTAAATGTTAATATTTGCGTGTATGGAAAGTAAATATTTAAAAAAAAAGAAAAAAATTCTTTTAAAATAATGTTGTCATTATTTATTATTGATAGTTATATTTAATTTTTTATGTATAATTGTAATTAATATAATACGAGAAATAACATTGATGTTTAATAATTATTACAACAGCAAAGATTTAACAAAAAAAGTAAAAATTTTAATTAAAAAAAAAAATAAAATAAAAAAATTATTTGAATATATTTTCTAAATGTTTCTTATATATATGTGTATTTAAAATGAAATAATGTGGTAAATTCAATTGCTGTGTATATATGAGTAATTAATATATTTTTTGATAATTGTGTAATTATAATCACATGATAATTTATTTTGTATATAAAAAAAAATTTTAGTGAAATTTTAAAGGAAAAGAAAAAAGGAAAAATTATTTTTAATATTCGGGCATGAAATAAGAAAGCCTTTTATGGCCTACAACCAGTACAACAGTTATTAAAAGATAGCTGATGACGGTGTATATGATTTTTCTAAATGAAAGTGTAAATTCGTTGTTTATTTAATATAGTGAAACCTATAATTGGTGAATGAAATAGTGAATTTAATATGATTCTGCAATATCTTCACAATTTATATAAATTACAATTATGAGGGCAAATTGACTAAAAGGTAAGATACGGTTAAAATACGGATATCTATAATTATGATAAAATTAAAAATAATATTAAAATTAAATTAAAATTTCGTAAGATCGTGTAGAAGTTACTGTTTTAGTACAACGGTTAAGCTATTCGGTGTGCCGGCGTGTGTAACATAATATATCACGTTTCGGTAAAATATTATAGATAAATATCAGAGCAATATTTTGGAAATAACGAGAGACTAAAATTTCTGTAGGACATTTGTGTTTTATACTTACACAATGTAGATTCGGTTCTTTAAAAAATGAATTGCGCGGTATGTAGAAATACGGAACACCTTAAAGAATATAAGCGCGGTTTCGAGAACGCTCTGCAACGGAAAGAAAACGAAATAATGGGACTACTAAAAACTATTAAAAAAAATAAACAAAATATATTATTCCAAGAAAAATAGATGGAAAAAATTGTTACAATCGGCGAAGTGTTTAGGAAGGGGAGTCAAAATTGAATGTAATACTCAACAAGAACATAGAAAAATTAAATCATGCACTAGTGAATTCAATAAACAAAAGTGATGAAATGTGCTCAAAATTAAAAATTTTTACAAATAGTAACAATGTAGGTCAAACGTTCTCATTCGCTAATGTTTTAAAAACAAATAAGGATAAAAATCGAGCCGTACCAATAATTAAAAAAAAATTACCAATAATAGTGAAACCTAAGCAAAAACAAAAGAGTGGTAAAACAAAAAAGACTTAAACGCAAAGGTTGATCAAAAAATTTTAAAAAGTAATAATGTGAAAAGTAAATATAATGAAATGATAAAAATTGAAACAGGCTCTCAGGAAAGTCGCGAAAAAATCAAAACGGAATTGAAAAAAGAAAATGAAAGGTACTTATGAAAATAAGATAACTAAAAAAATAAAACCAAAAATTGAAATTGTGCACATGAATAATAAATTTAGTGAAGGTGAATTAATAGAAAAAAAAATAAAATGAAATGTTGGAGAAGAATGAAGAAGAAATAAAAATGATTTAATTTGCGTACGCTCAAGAAATTTAATAAGAAAATGCAAAGTGCAGTTAAAGAGGTCGATAAGGAGTCTTTTCTTAAAATATTGGGTATGGAAAAATTATGCATTGGTTGGGAAAGATGTAGGGTTTTTGATGCAATTAAAGGGCAAAGATGTTTTAAATGTAATGGTTTCAATCTTCAGTGTAATCAGTGCCAAAATGAAGAGACGTGTTTAAAATGTACAAAAAATCATAAAACAAATGAGTATAAAGAACAAGAAATTAAAGTATGTGCTAACTGCAAAATTCAAACGAAAGGTTTAAATTGTGTTTAAATATAAACCGTAATTCAGTAAAGAATGCGAAGCATGCAAGAAAAAACTAAGCGAGATAAAAATTAAAAGAAAAAAAATTGGGTATTTGCAATTACAGTTAAGTGAAGGTTATGCCTACTCATCGACGGATAACACAATCTGCAGTGTTAATTTAAAGTTTAGTTTTAGTAATAGTAAAACAAATAATTTAGAAATGATTCAAAATAATAATTATAACAGTAACAGTGCCAATAATTTGATTTTAGAAAATTGTAATACAGAAATATATAACGCAGAACACAATAAGAATATTAACAATAACAGTGAGAGCAGTATCAATATGAATAAAAAAAGTAATAAAAAACTGATTAACTGTAACGATTATAATAAATTAAAAAAGAACTTTAGTCGGAGCTTTAAAAACAATAATGTATATGAATATGGAAGAATAAATACAAACTTACTAAAATTTATTTCGAAATTTTGGCCAAAAAAAGTTCAAAAATTAAACTTGATAATAATAATAAGAAACATAGATTATAATACAATAATAGAAACATAGTAATTAAAAATTAAAAGAAAAAAAAAAGGCTAAGTAACTGCTCTAATTATATATTTTTTGCGGATACTAATATTAATATATTTGATAAGAGTAATACAGTAACTAAATACATAGATATGATTAAAACTTCAGGATATTATTTTTTGAACAAAACTATTAGTACAAGAACAACGGCACGATAAAGTACTTTGATAGATCATATCATTTCCAATATTAATAATAAATATAGTATTACTATTAAGATTGAAAATAATAGTTTATCAGATTTTCAGTTAGCGTTAACTTCGATTAAATTAGAAAATATAGAAAAAAAAACCCTTCCGAAATTCCGTTATTCAAAGAACAGATCACAACAAGATGTACTATGGTCCAAAATAATATTTATAATACAAATTTAGTAGACTTCGACACACTAAGTAATATAATTAAACACGTCAAGGATGTTTGTACTTACTCAACTACAATCAGAACCAGGAATAATGGATGGGTAACTCCTATTATAAACGAAGAATTAAAAGCCATAAAAAAAAATGGATGATAAGCATAAAAAAGACCCTCAAAACAATTAAAAAAAATGAGATTCAGAGAATTTAAAAATGATGTCACAAAATTAATAAAAGAAGCAAAAAAAACTATATCTCTAAAAATATTGAAAATGCTGGTAGTGATTCAAGAAAATTGTGAAAAAATTTAAATAGTACGAGTACAATCTGTAACACCAACACTGATAAAATCAAACATACCTTGAATGTTATTAATAAAAAAGGCGAAAAAACAAAAAATAAAATTGACACAGCGAATGTTTTGAATGAGTTTTTCAATGAAATAGGAGAATCAACAGTTAAAAATATTAAAAATAAAACTTTAAGTTACAATCAATATTCCCCGCAATACAATAATAAAACGTTATTTCTTAATACAGTTACGGAATATGAAATACAAAATATAATTTTAAATCTTAATAAAAATGCGACCTCAAGATTAGTTAAAATTACAGTTAAAGATTTACAAATTTTAATTGATATAATAAAACAGCCGTTGGCGAATATCATTAATAGTGCACTTACAAACGGAGTGTTCCCGGATTTATTGTCCCAATACATAAGGCAGGTTCGAAAACTGATTGTGGAAATTAATTATATAATAATTAATTTGAATAAATGATCTTAATAATAATTAAGATCATTTATTCTTTACTGATAGCAACTTGAATTTATTTGAAAATAATAACATATTAGTGAAATATAAAGATATGATAGCTACTGTAGAATATTACAGAGTAAACCAAATTGAGAGTTCAAGAGTAACATAACAAACAAAGAACTTAATTGATCATATAATTTGCAAATATTAATAATAATTTCAATATTAGTTTCAAAATAGAAGATAATAATTTATCAGATCATCAGTTAGCTATAGTTGCTATAAAAACTGAGATTCTAAAAAGTTGTCTATGAAAACGCGGTAATACATAGATCGGCTACGTCATATTAAAAAACAGACAATTGATGAAACAGCAGTAATGGAAATTAATGTTTCAATAAAAATTGTTCAAAAAGCAAAAGAAATGTATACAAAAACTATTCGTTTTTGAGCTAGAAATACCGATTAGATAACACTGCTCTTACTGTAAAAATTGAAATATAGAAAATCATTGTATGATGAGCATAAAAAAGAACCGAACAACTATGAAAAAAAATAAGATATGTTGAAGTTAAAAAGAAGATAGAAAAGTTAATAAAGGAAGCTCAAAATAAATATATAAAGTTACACCTGCTATATATTTTGCACATGCCGAAAAACAAGTTTATATCAAACTGTAAAATTTCTGCGGATAATACAAATTTGATTGCAAAAGCCAAATCATTAGCAGAATTAGAAGATATATTAAATAAAAATTTGAAAACCTTAATACTTAGCTACTGGCTGAATTACAACGAATTGTGTATCAATGCTAACAAAACTAATTATATAATATTCTAACTCATAAAAAGAGTTTAATGATATCAAAAAAAGGTAATTATTCAATTCATAATTTTAAGTACTTAGGAATGATAATTGACGAAAAAGATCTACCACATAAAAAAATTCTAAAAAGATCTGGCGGCATACCAAATAAGCTAAACTAAATTACAAAATGAAGCTAAATTTGTTTAGAATGGCTATATTCTACCAAAAACAGGTATAGCATACGTAACCTGGGGTCACTGCGCTAAATTTTATGTAAAACAAATAAATTCAATAATGAATAAAGCACTAAAAACACTTTTTAAAATTAGTCTTAGAACTAGTACTAAAGAATTATATCAGAACCGATAGTTTTAATATAAATCAGCTAATATATTTTGAAATATCTGAATACATATATAAATAATATTTTGAATAATAATTTTAAATAAAAATTAATTCTGACAAATAAAGAAAATATTCACAATTGTTATACTAGAAATAGGAAAAATCTTAGGTATACCTAGAGCTAGGACAACAAAAGAATAAAATCGTTTAAAATGTAAATGCTATAAAACTATTTCATAGTCTTTGTACAAGTATTGAAAATAGTGGAAAATTGGATATTTTTAGAAGTACACTTAAACAACTTGTGGAATTGATATTTAAATTTTATTTAAAAAAATGAAATAGAGTATTACTTTTAAATTATTTATAGTCTTAAAAAAATATTAAATGTTAATAATATTCCATTAATTTCTTATACATAATTTTATATTTTTGTAAAATTATCTGAAATTAATCAAATTTTTTTCGAAAAACATTGCTACGAGTATAAAAAATATAATTTTATATATAATGAAGCAAAAAAAGGTAGAATTGAATTTCATAATAAAATTGACTAGGTTTCACAATAATGATATAAGTATTATAGAGGAAAATAGTGGAATATGTCGTTTATGTTGTTCAAATACGTACATTATATTTTATAATTTCGATGAATAATGGTTTTGCAGTTCCGAAGGCTATAAGAGGATATAAACATATATATATTTAGAATCATATTTGCAGAAGCGCAACAAATATAAAAATTGCATTTGCCTCGAAATTGCATTTGGAATAAGATATCAAATAGAGTATGTATGTGCCAAATACTCACTTAAAAATTTTAAATAAATTTAGTAAAAAAAAATATGGTGGGTTACTTAGTTGACATAACAATACAGGAGGACTTGTATATAGCCTTAATTTTTAAGTTATTATAATAATGGATATTTTTATGGCATTTTTTTAAAAATCCTAATTTTTTTCAAAATATGTATATATAAATAAAATATGTACCAAAAGAATAACAATATATGTATACTTGAAAATTCAAATATCTAACTGTTTTCAATAAACGCATTTCAAAATCCTAGTCAAATTATAGTTTATAGCCAGGAAACGTATAATTAAGATTTTCAAAATTTTTCGCATAATGTAATGTGTTTTCTTACTAAGAATATCGAATATAATTCACATTTTGTAAAACAAATTCAATTTATAATAAGAAAATGTATTGTTATGAAATTTTCCTAATCTATACCATTCTTAAGAAGCTGAAATTGAAATGCTAACGTCATAATTAGTTCTAGCTATAATTATATTAATATAACAAATCTTTTGTTTCAATAGTTTATTATGTATTCAGTTCTTTCTAATAAATTAATGATTGAATTATTTAATAAAACATGGTTATTATAGTAGTAAAATTTATATAGGATCTTAACATTTTATAAACGATTAGGCAATAGTTTTAATTGTAGAGAATATAAAAGCCAAGATTTATTAACATTCTAATATAATGTATGAAAATTTTTTATTATCAACATTTTACTATTTTATTTAATCTTCTTAATTACAATAAAAACTTAACTTTAAATTATACTTCCGTCTCCATCAACATACACAATAATACTAAAAAAAATTTTATTAGTCATTTAAAGCGTATACACAAATAATATAAAAAAAAATTTGACTCAGAAAAGCCTATGAACTATAAAAAGAAAAAAAACCACAAAAAAACTCAAACTCAATAACGGCAAAAATTTCTTACTCAACGGTTATTTTTAAATATTCTCTCATTCCTATTGAGTTTTATATTTTATCTCAGTTAAATACTCAAAATATTTCCTAACTTCTTCCTACACATTCTAAAGTGTAAATTTCCTACTCTTGTATTAAAATATGTTTCTATACTTTTATAACGTTAGAAAAAATTTCTTATTAAAAATTGAAGCTTTATTTAAAACAAGTTTTATACCTGTTTTAAGAGAATCAAATTTATTATTTCTAAATTCTCTTTTATTAAATTTTATATATAATTTCGATTCCCCAATCTCCATTCTCTTTAGTTGGTTATTAAAGAGCGCATGTTAAAAATTTCTCCTCTCTAACAATTTTTTATTGTTTATGTTCTGCTTTTATTTTTATATGTTTTTTTGAAACTTGGCTGAATAATTAACAGGTTGTGTCTGCAAAACAAATAATATATTTTGTTAAACAACAAAGATAACATTAAAAATCACACAGGGCAAAGAAAAATTAATAACAAATTACAAATAAGAAAATAAAAAGCAAAAAAAATCAAGGAGCTCCTGAAAGGATAATAATAAATCTGCATATCTAGAGGTTCATACAAGGATTTCTTCTTGTATTTTTTGATTTTCACTTTTCTTTCCTGTTTTTTTTTCGTTTTTCTTTTAAATATTGAAATATTTTTTTTATGGCCAGCTGTTTTAGTATTATTTTGAGCTTTCGTTGTGCAATATCCTTGCTTTAAATGAATTTTTTCGTTCGCGGGTTTTATTTTTCTTTTCAATAAGAAGACCAAATCTATATATATACATATATATATATATATATATATATATATATAAAAAAAACAATAAACATGTATAATAAAAAGGATATTTGATTTATAATTAATTTATTTTTAATTTTGTTTTTCTGTTTCATTTTCGTATCCTAATTTTTAAAGAATTTTTTTTTCAAATATAAAAATAAATTTCATTAAATATAACAAAATAACTTAAAAAATTATGTACTAAAAATTATAATTATAATTAAATTGGGAATTATATGATAAATACATACAAAGAGCAGTTGTTTAAAATTATAACGGAGAATATAAAATGACTTTAAATTGGATTATTGAAGTGGAAATTTGAAAATCAAATATTACAAAAGGATACATACTTCATATACAATTTTAAAGGATATTTATATCGTTTTCGTACAAAAATTTTGTAATTGAAATGTAATTGCAAGGAAATCAATTTGATCCTAATGTTAAATTAAATTATTAAGAGGACAATTATATATTCCACCAATAAGAATTGTACAGGATTGCATATATAACAAATAGAATATTGTCATATACATAAAATACAACAAATAAAATAAAAGGTATATATACAGTGTGTCGAAACAATTTAATGTGTAAAATAAATAATACAAATTTTTTTTTTGTGTATCAAATATAATATAATGTTGTAATAATGAAATTAAACACAAAAAGGATATAAGGATAACGGGTTCTTTATTATTTGGGTAAAGAAAATTTTTTGTTTTTTGGTTCAGCCTCATGTTTTCTTTGTTTTTTTTGTACTTGTTTTGGTTGTTCTAAAATAATTAACATGAAAATGTAAAATTGTAAATTTATTATAAATGTTAAAATGTTAAAAAGGTATGAGAGAGCACAAAAAAAAATTATTTTTTGAATTCTAAATAAAACATAAAAACAATGTTAATAATTTCTTTTTTAATTTCGTTGTGAAATAACAAATATTTAAAAAATTTATAAGGTTAAAAAAAATATAGAAAACAGGATGCACACAATAGAATTAAATATTTTAAGAATAAAAAATAAAGTGGGGATAACCAAAAATTAAAAAGAAAAAATCGATTTATAAAAATAAAAAAAAACACAAAAAAAAAAAAACAACATAAGATCGCCGTACATCCGGGGAAACGTTTGTTTGTGTGTACGTTACAAACAATTTATTTTCAATTTTTTTATTTTTATTTTGTATATTTTTTATTCCTATACACTTTTGGAAAATATTTTTGTACGATGTACATATAATTTTAAATATATAACTGTTTGTTTTTTCGTAACAAAAACAATAAAAATAAAGTACAGAGCTTCTTAACAATTTTTCTAAATCGCAATTTTAAAATTTTTGAATAGTTCGGGTTTAACTGCAGAATTTTTAAATTTATAATTCTATTTTGTAATAAGAGATGTTAGGTTTAAGAATCGGTTTAGTGTTTTTGGATTAAAATTGACAAAAAAAATATTTTAAATTCAACATATATTTCAGAAATTTTTTGGCCGAATTATTTAGGGTATTTTAACACTATTTCGAAACAAATGAATTTATTTCCAATTCACTAAAGGTCAAAGACTTTTGAAGTGCTCGTTCGATCTTTTAATTTTCATATAAATTATAAATTTAAATAAATCATAAAAAATATCTAAAGAATTTCTAAAAAATTGTGTAAAACATGATTGAAGGAGTTACCCAAAAAGAAAACGTTGGTTTACAGACTTATTCTTAATGAATATTAAAATATAATATTCCATTAAAAATTTGACCCATTGATTTCCATTCTACATATTTGAGTATTATATATTTATTCATTTTGTTTTTTAAAAATTTCAATTCAGCTAAATTGTGAGTTTTTTTTATGAAAAGAGGTTGCACAGAATTGCAGGCTTATTAGGCATTGGAACGTTTTCGAAAAATAGAAGTGTGACTTAGCTTATTCATTTTATAACTCTAAATTTCTATCGACAAAAAGCCTTTCCATAGCGTTATATAATTAGATTTTTTACTTGCACCATCGAAATATTTTAATTGATAACTTTTACTAAATGTTGAGAAACAATGTTCAAATTATTTAAAAACTTATACTATGGGATTGGTTAGGTACTTTTACTATTTACTTTTACTGAATTTTTTAATATATAATTTATTTTTATTTACATACATTTATATATTTTACATTCGTCTGTGTATATATTG